GTACTGGAATTGAAAGGATTCGACCCGAGATCGGATCTTGATCCATTCTGGTAATGAAACACCTCCTCAAGAAGTTGAACCACCTTGCTCTAGATATCCTCAGGCCAGTCTTATCAAGAATGATGAGGGTGAGGGTACTGCAGCTCTAGCAGGCCTATTTCGAGCACCGACAACCATTCTACCGTCTGCAGGCACTGAATTCGATGACAGGGAAACATTTGCAGCTGATTACATAACAAGTCTGGTGGCAAGAAGTAACGAGTATTCATTGAAATGGTTTCAATCTTCAAACTTACTAAATAAAACTGTATCACCAAACAGTTCAAACTGGCCTAATTCTTCGACTTTATATACACAAGACTGGAAATCACTAATCACCAATCACAAATCACAAATATTGCATTGATTTGATTGAAACCCTTATAATCATGTTTCCGCAACACTTTCATGGAAAATTTATGATCATAATCATGAGAATTCAATGAGACAGAGGGAAAAATACCAGTACTCTAGAGGCGAAAATCGCTCTTCTGTTAACTTCTAAGCTGCAGCTAACGGAAACCAATTAACAAAACCTCAAAATTCAACCACAAACAATTGCCTCTGTACTTCAAATAAAGAACCCCACAACCCAAAACCATTCAAGAAGCTCAATTTAGGCACAAAGCACATAGAGCTTGAAACTGAAGAGGTATTAAGGAAGGAGACAAAGCAAAGAAGAAATGTAAAATAGAGATGGGAGAGTTGTGGTTGAGAAGAGTATGACAGGAAGGTGAAGTTGGGTGTCTCAGATGGTGACCAAGAATCAACTGCAAAGGGGTTTGTTTGATTCAAAGGGAATACAATCAGAGAGGTTTGTTTGGAGGCAAGAAACGGTTGGCCTAACTTCCCTCGAGTTTTTGTTTATCAAATAAGCAAAGGGAAAGGCTGAGGCCATAAAACAGCAACACCTTCAACACAACTTCAACTTCAACTTAGTCCATCTGATAAAAAAAAGAAAAGCAAAGAGATTTTTTGATATATTAAAACCAATCAGTTGGCTGATTGATTGGATAAGAGGAAAAGTAAGAATTTGACATCAATTATTTAATTATATAGTAATAGATTTATATAGTAAAGATTTGAATTTGGGGGGTACAGTGAGGTTTTAGTGGGGGGTTGGCCACCTAATCCAATCAGCAGTTTGTACATGTCGAAGCCGCCATGGCCCTCCTTTATGTATTGTTTCTGGCCACATCTTTGATGCAGTTGGCCATGCTCAATTGGTTGCTGCATAGAAGAAGCTGATGGCAGCTTCTTTCGGAGATCCAAGGAGTCGGGTCCTACTCCAATATTTGGATTTTCTTGTGGCCCGTCCTCTCTGGTCAAAGGTTTGAAAGGTATATCTTAAAGTATTTCGAGATTAATCTCTTTGACCTATATTAGATCATACTTTTTTCTATGTAATACTTGGTTGGTTAGTTTTTCTTGTTGTGCGTTCTTAGATCAACGTTTACAGGATACGTTAAAATATTTCAGAATTAATCTCTTTAAATTATATCGGGTCATATATTATTATATATATATATATTATATTTTTTATTGAGGGTGTTCGTATTTTAACTAATCTCCCGGTCCTTAAGTTAACGATCAGGTAAACCTTCAATGACTATCCCTATTAGTACTTATGAAGACTCGAACTCAGAACTCATGAAATCTCTTTTTGTTTTTTTACCATCGGGTATTCAGTGATGGTTGAGTTAGACTTCCTTACTAGTTGAAAATGTGTTTATTAACTATTTTCCTATTGTCGTTCTTATATCAAGGTTTAAAGGGTATACCTTAAAATATTTCGGGATTAATCTTTAATTGATTAGGGGGGTCATACTTCCTACTAGTTGAATAGGGTTTGGTTAAAGCATTTTCCTATTGTCGTTCTTGGATCAATGTTTAAAGGGTATATTATGGTTGTGTAATGATGTTAGTATAATAATATAATATTTTTGTGTGTTATTTAGAAAATAATGTAATTTGAGTGGACTTTTTGAACCATTCACTTTTGGTTCATACCATGAGAGTCAAGGTGGAAAGTTTTGTTTGGGCCAGCATTACATTACAAGCCACTACCAAATCTAAATTTAGGTATCTATAAGTAATAAACAAAACAATCGCTAGGGTTTGTTTGAAAGTATTAAAAGTTGTATTTATTATCACGTTACCAATTTGATCAGGTTATGATGTAATATGTGGTTGACTTCTCCTCCCCTGGACTGCTTTTAAAAGTGACTTTACCTAAATCGTTTATCATGTATCAGAGTCACGTTGATGGGTTTGGACCATAGACGTGCAAGCTAGGTCGGGGGTGATGATAGGTTTGGACCCTGGTCGAACCATGCACATCGATGTGAAAGAGGGTTTTGAAGTCGTTCCCTTGTTATGTATAGTGCTTGTTTATCGAAAAGTATTTTTATTAAAAATAGTTTTTATAAACATAATTAACATTTTTTTATTGAGACCTTATTTTCTTTTTCCAAAGAAATATTTAACATATTTCTAGAAGTATTTTAATATTTATCACTTCTAATAGCATCATAAACATGCCTTAATTAAGAAGGAATTTGATTATTAATTAAGAGAAAGCATATTCAACTTGTAAACTAATTAAAAGTTTATTAATTAATTATTTAAACTTTCACATTTTTTTTTCATTGAAAAATCACATTGAGTATACAACTGAAATTTCTTTTAGGGTTCCCACACGTGTCCCCAAAAAATACTTTGATGCTTACCCTAATTTATAATAAGATTATTGAATCCAAAAAATTAGAACACCAAAAAAATAAAATAATGTGTGACTTGGCTTCGTTTCCTTCTTTAACTCAAATTTGACCCCAGGGCCAATCCCTCGACGCAACGTGTCGGTTTAAGATTTAACAATAATTGAATTAGAGATAGGTCTTAATCTAAGATTTGATATGAAAGTAACATAAGATATACAACTTCGACATATTTTTACTCAATCGGTGATGTGGGTGCTACAATACCTTATCTTTGATTGCTAATTAGACAAAATGGAGTGACAAGGAAGCCCTACCTTTGCTTAAATTATGCACAATTTCAATATAGGCAGGCATTCAATTCTATGATGTGTTAAGGATTTTTTTTTTTTTTCTCAATATTGTATGGTTAGAATAGATTGTCCCTTATCTAATTGACATAATTATAGATACGTAAATGAGTATTATCATTGAGGGTACACGAGTTTACTGAATTCTCAATAAGAGGATATAAGTTTTAGAAATATCAATCTAAATACACTTAAAGAGTTTGACCGTTTTATTTAACTATGTAATCACAAAATAATAGAAATACCCACAAATTTGAAATCAAAAAATATTTTATAATTTTTTTTTTTTTAGTTTTAAAGTCTTTTAGTTATTTTATTCAATAATTAAATTTTAAAGGTTTATGTCATCTTGTGATTACGTAGATGATATAACGGTCAACACGTTAAGTGATCTCTGATTGATATTTTTGAAACTTGTGTCCTTTGATGATAATTCAGTAAACTTGTGTATCTCAGTGATAATATCCCTTAATAAATAATAATATGCATATTTTAGATGTAGAGATATCGAATATTAGGATAAGAACTAAGACTTTGTACCACAATATTTAAATCAATACAACAAAAACAAAGTTTTTGGAAGATGATATTGACATTAAAATTGAATCCAAAGTATAAAATATTTAGGCTCCGTTTGGTATACAATTTTTAGTATTATATTACTTATTCTATCCAAAATACATATTTATTTCCTTTTCATAATATTATTCTATATTATCAGCTCTTTTAAACCCTTAGATTTGTATTCCATTTTTTTAAACCTTCTAAATTGTTAATTAACAAAATACCCTCCAAATTTTTATTTAGAAATTGACAAAAACACCCCGACAACCCACATTTGCTAGATTCTTCACCATCGCTGGAATCTGGTATAATGGTGCAACTACCGGCTAGATCTGGTTGGTAGTGCGCCGATCTAGCCTTTTTTGACTAGATCCAAGACGGATATGACCGAAAAATGCTAGATCTACGATAAAAAATCTAGCCGTCGTAGCAATCGTCAACGACAGCCATATTTGGCTGTCGTTGATGACCAAATGCGGCCAGATCTAGCCATAGATCTGGTATTTTCCAACTAGATCCACCATGGATCTGGTAAGAAAATGCTATATCGGCGTACGATCGGTCAGATCTAGCAAGTCATGCATTGATATGACGACTCCGCCACCTCCAATGGGGGTGGCCAGCTGTCCGTATTAATGGATGGGTTGAGGTTGTTTTTGTTAATTTTAAATATTTATTATAGAGGTGTCCGTAAATAACAAACATAGAGGATATTTTGTTAATTTCCAAATTCTGCACGTAATAGCCACCCAATTTTACTTTTTTTCAAAAATTATTATAAAAAGTATTAGAATAATGAACAAAAAGACTTAATGTTTGTTTTTAGTTACATCACTCTAAATTGTGATTGGAAATCAAATTTCAAAAAATTACATGCAATCAAAAGATCAATAACATTATCGAGCCAAGAATAACTATTTGAGCCGTAACACTAATTTTCGACTATCGAATCATTACCGATCCTTGAGTGGTGTAAATAGTAAAATCCAATTGAATAGATGTGTAAATAAAGTAATATACTTGTATCGAAGACTTTCTTTCCGAGCAACACGGTAATCTTACCAATTTCGTTATATGACCCGGTCCGGCCCAGCCCATATGAATTCCAACGATTGCCCCAACTATTAACAAATTGGGCCCAATCCAACTCAAAAGCTTACCCAATTTGTATATGACCGGTCCGGCCCGGCCCATACTTGAATGCCCCGATTGCCCCAACTATTAACAAATTGGGCCCAATCCAACTCAAACAGCCCGAAGCCCCATGTCCCAATAAATCGGATTCGACTCATACACCGACTCCGGTTCCTCTTATATGCAAGATTTCAATCATTGACTTCTTCTTTTTCGACCTCGATAGAGAACCAGAAAAATCGTCAATCAAATTACAGGTAAAAACCCTAATTCTTTTATGAGTTTTCGTTTACAGTTAATTATAAAAGTTTAATATCTCTTACCTATGTTGTTTTTGTTCCTTAAAAAGTATCTTTTTGGGGCTCTGCAGAGTAATCTAGCGATTGTGAACGAAACGACATGACGACCGCGGCTCGACCAACATGGGCACCGGCTAAAGGAGGCAACGAACAGGGTGGGACCCGGATTTTCGGGCCATCTCAGAAATACTCGTCGAGGGACCTTGCAGCTCATACAAACTTAAAGCCCAGGTGAGTAATTAGCAATAACAGGATGTATTGATTTGGTTTGAAGAAAAAAATTCACAATATTTTGTCGTGTTGGAATTGGGTATGTTTGGATTATTGATGATTATGAGCTATTCTTGAAAAAAAAGTAGTTTAATCGTTGGACGTGATTCTGAATTGGCATTCTAGAATGATGATATTTGTTTAATTGTTAAATTAGAAATAATATGTATTGATTTGATTTATGATACGCGATGGTAGTGGTACCGGGTGTGTTTGGACTGCTGGACGAGGATGAGTTGTTATTGAAGAAAGGAATTCATATAAACTGAACGATATGGAATAATGAACTAATATAAGTGATGAAGTAGCAATGATGTGTGTATTGATTTGATTGAAGGAGAATTTTTAGGATATGGGATGTTATTGGTTTCAGATAATGTTTGAAATATTGGATGGGGATGAGAAATTATGGAAAAAAATTAGTTACGTATGATATGATACTATATCAGGATTGTAAGATGATGACCTTAATTCAATTGTTATAATTAGGTCATTTGATGCAGTTTTTGTTGATGATTGTTTTCATTTTTCTCCCCAAATTTTTAGGAGTTTGTGTTTGCTAGAAGTAATTGCTTAAATGTTGAGGTCAGTGTTTCAGGCTTTCTATTGTTTTTCTTCTGTTTTGGTAGACTGTCGTTGTTTGCTTGTTTAAATGGATAATTTCCTAGTTTGTTGATAGAGATATGCAACACCAGAATTTTGTTTAGAATTTCTTGAAAGAAAAGTTATTTTGAAGGTAACATGATTTGCAAGAAGATGATGGCTTAGGTAGCATAGTATACAATTGCCATGAGAACTACCCTGTCCAGTGATTTTGTAAATTGTTCAGAACAATTAGGATGAGATAGCGATAAATAGCCTATAGAGGAAGAGGGAGAGGAATTTTGGTAGGGGGGTTGACATGTTTCCAGTGAGTATGGTGTAATATGTTGAAAGTGTACTTGATAATAGTCTGTGTGTATTTAGAAATGATTTTCTTTGCCAAAATTGTATTATATGTGAGATTGATCTAGTAAAATGTCGAAACACTTCTTGATTTTACATGTAAGGAATGGGTTGTTTTGTATATTTGTTTATAGGCCTGTGTTCAATTTGTGAAGCTCTTCTCTGATTGTTATGTGTTTCTTTCAGAAAAGAAGGACAAGACACTCAGAATGAATTGCAGAAGAGGAACCTTCGGGATGAGCTAGAAGAGCGTGAACGGAGGCATTTCTCATCAAAGGATAAGTCATATATTGGTAATATTGCTTTACAAATCTTGATTATTTTGCCAACTTTGGTTGTCTGTCATTTTTTACTGTCTTTTTTTTCTTTGCACTTTGCTGGCAATATATCTTTATTTAATCAATATGCTCATTGTTGCAGATGACAGAGATCGCAGGAAGAGTAGCCATCTTCTGTTGGAAGGTGAATATGCCTACTTACCTGACTGCTTCTATTGAATAAATTGTTTTAAGTGCTTTACTAACTATGTTTGCTGACTGTAGGGAGTAAGAGGGATAATGAAGACCGTGTTATTCCACGCAATGTAGATGCTGATGATTCTGATGTGGAAGTAAAAAGTGATGATGAGAGGTTGTTTCTCTTGGTCAATATTTCATTCTTACTTCTTCTTTCCTCCTTTATGTGCCGGCACTATATCTGAACGCTTTTAGTACTTTTGCTTGATTTTTGAGTGATGAATTTCTGAAGTGTACAAAATGTTTTTTTTTACTAATTTCTCATGTTATTTTTGCTAGTGATGACGATGACGACGACGACGATGATGAGGATGACACTGAAGCTCTTTTGGCTGAGCTTGAACAAATAAAGAAGGAAAGAGCAGAAGAAAAGCTTCGGAAGGTGAAATATATATCATTCTTCCCTTGTGAACATTTTAAAGCTCCATAAACGTTTTGGCTGTTGGAGGCCATTCACTGAGCCTTAAGTTGCATGTGAAGCTTCATATGCTATTATACCTTGAGTTTAACTAATAACAACAAATTTACTTCATGCTTTTGCAGGAAAAACAGCAGTGGGAAGAAGAGGCTAAAGTCAAGGAAGCAGAGCTTCTTCGAGGAAATCCATTGCTGAATAATCCAACTTCGTTTAATGTTAAAAGAAGGTCAGCAGCTATATAGATCTATCTTTCTCTTGGTTCTTTAATTAAGTCTGGAATGTTTTATGCGTTCTAGTCTTCCATTGCCTTACATGTTCTTTGATGTTTCAGGTGGGATGATGATGTGGTCTTCAAGAACCAAGCTCGTGGTGAAACCAAGACTCCCAAGCGCTTCATCAATGACACTATCAGAAATGACTTCCATCGGAAATTCCTGCAAAAATACATGAAGTAACTCCACTATTCAAGTAAAATCTTGAGGTCGGCCGAAAAAACTTATTTGAAGTCATTGTTTGTGTTGTTAGTTGTTGACTGTGCTGGGTTGGATTTTCAGAGTCAACATGTATTAAGAGTCTGTATGAATCTGGAAAGAGTTTTATCACCCAAGTTTGGATTATTACTGGAAAACTGTTCTACTTCTGGAGATAGTGTTCAGTTAACAATTGTGCCTTCTCTTTCCTGATACTTAACTTGGTGGATGATATTTCCTTTATGAAATGTGAAGTTCCATGAGTTAGTTTATTCATGTACATCATTTTTATCAGCTTCGACGCATCGATGATCTGATCTTAAACAATTTCAGGGCATGCAGTAGTTCTTTCCAATGTTTTAAAAACTAACCCGGGGTGAAACCCGGCAAAGTTGTCGGGTCTTGGGTTGACCCGTGACAACTTTTAAAATTTAACAAATACACCCTTAAAAATTACAGTTAAGTCCCTATAGATTGGAAATTTAGCAAAAACACTCTAAATACAAATCGGCCAGCGACAACACCTCAAATGCAATCCCAATTGTCCCTGGAGCCCATTACCCTGAAAACCTATCCAAGATTTGATCGAAATCGATTTGATTTCGGTATGATCTCATAGACGTCGGCGTCGACATTCTAGGTTAGATCTCACCAACGCTAGCATTGACAACCCCCTCCCTCCCCTCCCCCCATCACCCTGAAAATACTCCCCTCTTCCTCCTGATAAAAACCCACCTAACCCCACGCTCATTAGCGTCACCAATCGTCGGCAAAAGTCGACTGTTGTCGTCGTCAGTTTTTTTCGATTTTCGATCGATTTACTCACAAAAAATCAACTCCGCCACCACCTTTGCACTCATTGACACTTTCTCTTCAAAAGTCTCAACATCTCAGCCTTTAATTGTTCGCCGATCATTACCCAAAATTCTAAAGTTTTGGATAAACAGGAAAAATGTTAACCCGATCCGATGAAACTCTCAAGTCTTGGTTAAACCAGGATGGGTTTTAAAACAGTGGTTCTTTCTCAGTGCTCAATGCCAAATTGAAACATAAAAACAAAGTGCATACATGAAAGGATCACAAACTATACGTTCCAAACATAGGGACTTAACATATTCTTATTCTTACAAATTGAATTTACAATTTTGAAACAGAACACACTTCTCAACTTCAGTCTATCCCTCAAAACTCTACAAAAAAGGGGAAAGGAAGCCATACTCTAGTGATGGATATAAATAAGAACTACATAAAAAAATAATAATTAATAATGAAGCACACCATGCTGAGGAAGAAGCATCGCCAACAATTTGAATCATGTCCTAATGAGCAACCATTCTGTAGCTTGATCCAAGCAGCTCTAACTAGTGTACATGAGGTCTCCACATGGTTGCAAATAAATATGAATAGAAAGCAGGCTCTCAAACTGCATTCTCCTAGTTCCTTTTCTTTGGTTCCCCCAGAACAAATTCAACATACAAATCCTTCAGTGCGATCACAACTGTTGTTATCAGCGGCCCCATAATCGCTCCCTGCAGAATGTTAGAGAAGATAAGTAAACCTAATAACCAACCAGCAGCAATTACATTTCTGATCAAGCAATTCGTCAATAGTTCCATGTAAACTGATTAGCACAGATTGTGTCCTATCACTATCAAAAAATCAAGATGAGATTGTGTCCTACAGAATAGGGATATGCTTTAGAAAGATGTGAATCAGAGTGTTAAGTATTCATTTGGAAAACGATACTTTCAAATTGCTGAAACCGAAAAAGGATTTGCATATTCAAAGGGAAAGTTGGGGAGAAATCATGATCATAAACACCATAAATATTTATCAATTACCTCCAATGCAGATGGAAACAGTGTCATTCCACCAATTATGCTGAGTCCTGTGAGGTATGCGCTATAACCGGGTATATCCTCCTGAATTTCAGATGCTCCATATTCCATAAGGAGAAGATGCATAACAGACAAGATGATGGCATGAATATATCTACTTTCAAGCAGGAGTTGGACAGCAGCTGGTATTGTCGCAAACCAAGATGGAAAGATAGGGAAAAGTGGGTTGATCAAAGCAAGGATGGTTGACATATACAAGAAGTGTATTTTGTACAGTCTAAACAATAGCCATGTAAGACATCCCTGAAAAAATGCAATTTCGGCTGTGGCCAAAAGAACACCGGAAACAGCATTATCAATAACTTCAACACATCTGACCCTCGCAGACTTTGAAATCGGAAGCATACACATTACTTGTTCTGTTACTCCACCAGATTCCGACGTAATAAGATAATACAAAACCCACAAGAATAATATCAACTGGGACACGAAATTGAAAACCTCTGCAGCTCCAGATATTATGGAATGTCCGATGGAGAACATAAGCTTCGCACTACCACCTAAAACTGATGCACTACTAGCAAATAAACGCTGTGACACATTCACTCCTTGGGCAGCGAACCCTTTTGCCTTCTCAACTAGATCCACCCTAGTGATTGTCAATTCTTGAATAATAGCATTGAGTTCTGTATAAATTTGTCCCCATTCTCGATTCCTAACCCTCTTCCTTAAACTCACAAGTTTCTCAGCATATGGAGAGGGGCTCATCAAAGCTGTTGATTTCCCTGAGGAATTACCAGATGGTGCTATCACGAAATGCTTAATCCCCGTAACAAATTCAGTCAAGTTGTACTGCATCGCCAAGCTATCTATCTGCTCAGACACGGTCTCATAAACTGTGGTAGTGTATCTATCCACCATTCCAGGCACATCGTTCTCCTCCATCCACTGTTTAACACCCATTCTCTCGGCATAATTACTCTCCTCAACATGTGATTTGATTGAAATCACAGCATCTTTTCCTTCAAAACCAATCTTATAAGAGAAAAATATCATTCCACTCAAAAACACCACAATCATACCAACAATCAACCCAATTGCTACAATGGTTTCCAACCTTTTCAGTATGCCTCGTGTGAAAAATGCGCTAACTGGACTACGCCTAAAACTATTAGACCTAAATGAAGAAACAGCCGACATAGTTGAATCGACATTTCTAGTACTAAACAAAAATCCCAAACCAAGTATCACCAATGATCCAAAAGCACCAATCCTCTCATAAGCAATTACAAACACACCAAAAGACACTAGCCACCTAAGTAACTTCGAAAATCCAGTCCGATTACGCATAGAACGATTACTTTTTGATCTTTTAAGAAAAACCTTTAAGCAAACATCCTTAATATCCACAAGAGTACCAATGAAAACCTTAAACATAGCAACAGGAATAGCAAGCACAGTCTCAGTAAGGCCAAGTTTCAAGGGCTCACTCCAAAATGCAACAAGGGCTTGTTGAATACCTCTCAGTGGAATTGAGCACAATATGGCCCACTGAATTGGCCTAAGATACTCTTGCAATAGCTTGCATATAAAGTATAGCGGGTCCTATATATAATAATATATATATATTATATATAGTTTTTATTGAGGGTGTTCGTATTTTAACTAATCTCCCGCGGTCCTTAAGTTAACGATCGGTAAACCTTCAATTATCCCTATTAGTACTTATGAGACTCGAACTCAGAAACTCATGAAATCTCTTTTTGTTTTTAACCATCGGGTTATTCAGTGATGGTTTTAGTTAGACTTCCTTACTAGTTGAAAATGTGTTTATTAAACTATTTTCCTATTGTCGTTCTTATATCAAGGTTTAAAGGGTATACCTTAAAATATTTCGGGATTAATCTCTTTAATTGATTAGGGGGTTCATACTTCCTACTAGTTGAATAGGGTTTGGTTAAAGCATTTTCCTATTGTCGTTCTTGGATCAATGTTTAAGGGTATATTATTGGTTGTGTTATGATGTTATATAATAATAATAATATTTTTGTGTGATTATTTTAGAAATTAATGTAATTTGAGTGGACTTTTTGAACCATTCACTTGTTTCATACCATGAAGGTCAAAGGTGGAAAGTTTTGTTTGGGCCAGCATTACATTACAAGCCACATACCAAATCTAAATTTAGGTATCTATAGTAATAAACAAAACATCGCTAGGGTTTGTTTGAAAGTATTAAAGTTGTATTTATTCTACGTTACCATTTGATCATTTGTTGATGTTATATATGTGGTTGACTTCTTCCTCCCCTTGGACTAGCTTTTAAAAGTGACTTCTACCTAAATTCGTTTATCATGTATCAAGTCACGTTTGATGGGTTTGGACCATAGACGTGCAAGCTAGTGTCGGGGTGATGATAGTGTTGGACCCTGGTCGAACCATGCACATCGAGTGTGAAGAGGGGTTTTTGAAGTCGTTCCCTTGTTATGTTTATGTGCTTGTTTATCGAAAATATTTTATTAAAATAGTTTTTATAAACTAATTAACATTTTTTTATTGAGACCTTTTTCTTTTTCCAAAGAATATTTAACATATTTCTAGAAGATATTTTATATTTTTTATCATCTTCTAATAGCATCATAAACAGCTTATTAAAAGGAATTTGATTATATTAAGAGAAAGCATATTCAACTTGTAAACTAATTAAAAGTTTATTAATTAATTATTTAAACTTTCACATTTTTTTTTTTCATTGAAAAATCACATTGAGTATACAACGAAATTTCTTTTAGGGTTCCCACACGTGTCCCCAAAAAATACTTTGATGCTTACCCTAATTTTATAATAGATTATTGAATCCAAAAAATTAAACACCAAAAAAATAAAATAATGTGTGACTTGGCTTCATGTTTCTTCTTTAACTCAAATTTGACCCCATGGCCAATCCCTCGACGCAACGTGTCGGTTTTTAAGATTTAACAAGTAATTGAATTAGAGATAGGTCTTAATCTAGATTTGATATGAAAGTACCATAAGATATACAACTTCGACATATTTTTACTCAATCGGTGATGTGGGTGCACAATACCTTTCTTTGTTGCTAATTAGACAAAATGGAGTGACAAGGAAGCCCTACCTTTGCTTAAATTATGCACAATTTCAATATAGGCAGCATTCATTCTATGATGTGTTAAGGCCCTTTTTTTTTTTTTTTCTCAATATTGTATGGTTGAATAGATTGTCCCTTATCTAATTGACATAATTTATGATACGTAATGAGATTTATCATTGAGGGTACACGAGTTTACTGATTCTCAATAAAGGATATAAGTTTTAGAAATTCAATCTAAATACACTTACTGAGTTTGACCGTTTTATTTAACTATGTAATCACAAAATAATAGAAATACCCACAAAATTTGAAATCAAATTAATTAATTTTATTATTTTTTTTTTTTTTTTTTTAGTTTTAAAGGTCTTTTAGTTATTTATTTATTCAATTATAAATTTTAAGGTATTTATGTCATCTGTGATTACGTAGATGAATATAACGGTCAAACACGGTTAATGTCTCTGATTGATATTTTTGAAACTTGTGTCCTTTGATGATAATTCAGTAAACTGTGTATTCTCAGTGATAATATCCCTTATAATAAATAATATGCTATTTAGATGTAGAGATATCGAATATTAGGATAAGAACTAAGACTTTGTACCACAATATTTTAAATCAATACACAAAAACATAAAGTTTTTGGAAGTGATATTGACTAAAATTGAATCCAAGTAAAAATATTTAGGCTCCGTTTGGTATACAATTTTTAGTTATATTATCTATTCTATCCAAAATACATATTTATTTCCTTATTCTCATATTTATTTCTATATATTCAGCTCTTTTTAAACCCTTTATTTTGTATTCCATTTTTTAAACCTTCTAAATTTGTTAATTTAACAAATACCCTCTAATTTTTTATTTAAAATTGACAAAAACACCCCACACACCCACATTTGCTAGATTCCTTCACCACGCTGGAATCTGGTATAATGTGTCCACTACCGGCTAGATCTGGTTGGTAGTGCGCCGATCTAGCCTTTTTGACTAGATCCAAGACGGATATGACCGAAAAATGCTAGATCTACGATAAAAAATCTAGCCGTCGTTGTAGCCAATCGTCAACGACAGCCATATTTGGCTGTCGTTGATGACCAAATGCGCCAGATCTAGCCATAGATCTGGTATTTTCCAACTAGATCCACCATGGTCTGGTAAGAAAATGCTATATCGGCGTACACGGTCAGTCTAGCAAGTCATGCATTGATATGACGACTCCGCCCACCCTCCAATGGTGGTGGCCAGCTGTCCGTATTTAATGGATGGGTTGAGGTTTGTTTTTGTTAATTTTAAATATTTATATAGAGTTTCCGTAAATAACAAACATAGAGGATATTTTTGTTAATTTCCAAATTCTGCCCGTAATAGCCACCCAATTTTACTTTTTTCAAATATTATTTAAAAGTATTAGAATAATGACAAACAGACCCTTAATTTTTTTGTTTTTAGTTACATCACTCTAAATTGTGATTGGAAATCATTTCAAAAAATTAACATGCAATCAAAGATCAATAAACATTATCGAGCCAAGAATAACTATTTGAGCCGATACATCTAATTTTCGACTATCGAATCATTACCGATCCCTGACGTGGTGTAAATAGTAAAATCCATTGAATAGATGTGTAAATAAAGTAATATACTTGTTTTATCGAAGACTTTCTTTTCCGAGCAACACGGTAATCTTACCCATTTCGTTATATGACCCCGCGGCCCAGCCCATACTTGATTCCAACGATTGCCCCAACTATTAACAATTGGCCCAATCCAACTCAAACAGCTTACCCAATTTCGTTATATGACCCGGTCCGGCCCGCCCATACTTGAATTCCCATTGCCCCAACTATTAACAAATTGGGCCCAATCCACTCAAACAGCCCGACCCCATGTCCAAATAAATCGGATTCGACTCATACACCGACTCCGTTCCTCTTATAGCAAGATTTCAATCATTGACTTCTTCTTTTTCGACCTCGATAGAGAACAAGAACAATCAAATTACAGGTAAAAACCCTAATTCTTTTATGAGTTTTCGTTTACAGTTAATTATAAAAGTTTAATTCTCTTACCTATGTTGTTTTTGTTCCTTAAAAAGTATCTTTTTGGGGCTCTGCAGAGTAATCTAGCGATTGTGAACAAACGACATGACGACCGCGCTCGCCCAACATGGGCACCGGCTAAAGGAGGCAACGAACAGGGTGGGACCCGGATTTTCGGGCCATCTCAGAAATACTCGTCGAGGGACCTTGCAGCTCATACAACTTAAAGCCCAGGTGAGTAATTAGCAATAACAGGATGTATTGATTGGTTTGAAGAAAAATTCACAATATTTTGTCGTGTTGGAATTGGGTATGTTTGGATTATTGAGTTATGAGCTATTCTTGAAAAAAAGTAGTTAAAATCGTTGGACGTGATTCTGAATTGGCATTCTAGAATGTGATATTTGTTTAATTGTTAAATTAGAAATAATATGTATTGATTTGATTTATGATACGCGATGGTAGTGGTACCGGGTGTGTGTTTGGACTGCTGGACGAGGATGAGTTGTTATTAAAGAAGGAATTCATATAAACTGAACGATATGGATAATGAACTAATATAGTGATGAAGTAGCAATGATGTGTGTATTGATTTGATTGAAGGAGAATTTTTAGGATATGGATGTTATTGGTTTCAAGAATGTTTGAAATTTGATGGGGATGAGAATTATGGAAAACAATTAGTATGTATGATATGATACTATATCAGGATTGTAAGATGTACCTATTCAATTGTTATATTAGGTCATTTGATGCAGTTTTGTGTTGATGATTGTTTTCATTTTTCTCCCCAAATTTTTAGGAGTTTGTGTTTGCTAGAAGTAATTGCTTAAATGTTGAGGTCAGTGTTTCAGGCTTTCTATTGTTTTTCTTCTGTTTTGGTAGACTGTCGTGGTTTGCTTGTTTAATGGATAATTTCCTGTTTGTGTAGAGTTATGCGAAAGATAAGTTATTTTGAAGGTAACATGATTTGCAAGAAGATGATGGCTTAGGTAGCATAGAATGCAATTGCCATGAGAACTACCCTGTCCATGATTTTGTAAATTGTTCAGAACAATTAGGATGAGATAGGGATAAATAGCCTATAAGGGAGAGGGAGTTTGGTACAGGGTTGACATGTTCCATGAGTATGGTCTAATAGTTGAAAGTGTACTTGAAATAGTCCGTGTGTATTTAGAAATAATTTTCTTTGCCAAATTGTATATATGTGGATTGATCTAGTAAAATGTCGAAACACTTCTTGATTTTACATTAAGGAATGGGTTGTTTTGTATATTTGTTTATAGGCCTGTGTTCAATTGTGAAGCTCTTCTCTGATGTTATGTGCTTCTTTCAGAAAAGAAGGACAAGACACTCAGAATGATTTGCAGAAGAGGAACCTTCGGGATGAGCTAGAAGAGCGGAACGGAGGCTTTTCTCATCAAGGATAAGTCATATATTGGTAATATTGCTTTACAATCTTGATTATTTTGCCAACTTTGGTGTCTGTCATTTTTTACTGTCTTTTTTTTTCTTTGCACTTTGCTGGCAATATATCTTTATTTAATCAGTATGCTCATTGTTGCAGATGACAGAGATCGCAGGAAGAGTAGCCATCTTCTGTTGGAAGGTGTATGCCTACTTACCTGACTGCTTCTTTGAATAAATTGTTTTAAGTGCTTTACTAACTATGTTTGCTGCCTGTAGGGAGTAGAGGATAATGGAGCCCGTGTCATTCCCCGCAATGTGATCTGATGATTCTGATGTGGAAGTAAAGTGATGATGAGAGGTTGTTCTCTTGGTCATTTTCATTCTTACTTCTTCTTTCCTCCTTATGTGCCGGCACTATCTGAACGCTTTTAGTACTTTTGCTTGATTTTGAGTGATGAATTTCTGAAGTGTACAAAATGTCCTTTTTTACTAATTTCTCATGTTATTTTTGCTAGTGTGACGAACGACACGACAAGACGAGGATGACACTGAGCTCTTTTGGCTAGCTTAACAAATAAAGAAGGAAGAGCAAGAAAAGCTCCGGAAGGTGAAATATATATCATTCTTCCCTTGTGAACATTTTAAAGCTCCAAAACGTTTGGGCTGTTGGAGGCCATTCACTGAGCCTTAAGTTGCATGTGAAGCTTCATATGCTATTATCCCTTGAGTTTAACTAATCAACAAATTTACTTCATGCTTTTGCAGGAAAAACAGCAGTGGGAAGAAGAGGCAAAGTCAAGGAAGCAGAGCTTCTCGGGAAATCCATTGCTGAATATCCAACTTCGTTTAATGTTAAAAGAGGTCACAGCTATATAGATCTATCTTCCTGTCGTTTCTTTAATTAAGCCTTGAATGTTTTATGCATTCTAGTTTTCATTGCCTTACATTTTCTTTGATGTTTCAGGTGGATGATGATGTGTCTTCAAGACCAAGCTCGTGGTGAAACCAAGACTCCCAAGCGCTTCATCAATGACACTATCAGAAATGACTTCCTCATGAATTCCTGCAAAAATACATGATAAACTCACTATTCAGTAAAATCTTGAGGTCGGCCGAAAAAACTTATTTGAAGTCATTGTTTGTGTTGTTAGTTGTTGACTGTGCTGGTTTGGATTTTCAGAGTCAACATATTAAGAGTCTGTATGAATCTGGAAAGAGTTTTATCACCCAAGTTTGGATTTTACTGGAAAACTGTTCTACTCCTGGAGATAGTGTTCAGTTAACATTTGTGCCTTCTCTTTCCTGATACTTAACTTGGTGGATGATATTTCCTTTATGAATGTGAAGTTCCATGAGTTAGTTTATTCATGTCCATCATTTTATCAGCTTCGACCATCGATGATCTGATCTTAAACAATTTCAGGCATGCAGTAGTTCTTTCCAATGTTTTAAAAACTAACCCGGGTGAAACCGGCAAAGTTGTCGGGTCTTGGGTTGACCCGTGACAACTTTTAAAATTTAACAATACACCCTTAAAATTACAGTTAAGTCCCATAGATTGGAAATTTAGCAAAAACACTCTAAATACAAATCGGCCAGCGACAACACCTCAAATGCAATCCCAATTGTCCCTGGGCCCATTACCCTGAAAACCTATCCAAGATTTGATCGAAATCGATTTGATTTCGGTATGATCTCATAGACGTCGGCGTCGACATTCTAGGTTAGATCTCACCAACGCTAGCATTGACAACCCCCTCCCTCCCCTCCCCCCATCACCCTGAAAATACTCCCCTCTTCCTCCTGATAAAAACCCACCTAACCCAACGCTCATTAGCGTCACCAATCGTCGGCAAAAGTCGACTGTTGTCGTCGTCAGTTTTTTTCGATTTTCGATCGATTTACTCACAAAAATCAACTCCGACCCACCACCTTTGCACTCATTGACACTTTCTCTTCAAAACTCAACATCTCAGCCTTTAATTGTTCGCCGATCATTCCCAAAATTCTAAAGTTTGGGACTTACAGGATCTTCATTTGCAGAAGTTGAAATGCCATTGACATCATTTCCAAGCTCTAACTTGGATTCAAAAACTTGCTTGTATCTCCAACTGGGGAGGCTAGAAATTTGATCATCAGAGGCTCCTCTCTCAGAAGACCCCATGTTCATGTTGTAGCCAAGGGAGCTGCTAATGAGTGGCACACAGCAACACAGCAACAGGAACAGAAGGAATGGAAATGAGTAGCTGAGAGCATTCCAGGCAAGCAGAGAGAGGCAGAGAACATGTAGATTCGGAGCTCGATGGAACGACCCGAATCGCGAATCGAATACCCAAACATTCCCCATCACAAACCAGATTGCAAAGAACAGCTCCAGCGAAGTCCGGCATCTGTTCATCAAATGAGAGCACCTGTACATACTATTACATCAATTAACAAAACTTCAAGGTTTAAGCTACCGGGGAAAGGATTCGATTATGGATTATAACAAAAGTTTGTTTGATGGTAAAATGTGTAAGGGTACCTGGATTCTTCGCTGCTCCTTTGTTGTTCAACATCAGAGAGGCCAAAACCATCAGCTTGAGTGACATGAAGCTGCCTGTAGCGCCCATAGAGAAGCAAAAGACTGAGCAGGCACCCAATATCATACCCAACAATCCAAATTCTCATGGGCCAAATAGGCTTCTCCCTCTTTGAGATTGACAGAGTGGATGTTATGATGCTTATTTGAATGATCAAAGCCAAGAACTCCAGCATCATCCAGGTACTGGAATTGAAAGGATTCGACCCGAGATCGGATCTTGATCCATTCTGGTAATGAAACACCCTCCTCAAGAAGTTGAACCACCTTGCTCTAGATATCCTCATGGCCAGTCTTATCAAGAATGATGAGGGTGAGGGTACTGCAGCTCTAGCAGGCCTATTTCGAGCACCGACAACCATTCTACCGTCTGCAGGTACTGAATTCGATGACAGGGAAACATTTGCAGCTGAATTACATAACGAGTCTGGTGGCAAGAAGTAACGAGTATTCATTGCAAATGGTTTCAAATCTTCAAACTTACTAAATAAAACTGTATCACCAAACAGTTCAAACTGGCCTAATTCTTCGACTTTATATACACAAGACTGGAAATCACAAATCACTAATCACCAATCACAAATCACAAATATTGCATTGAATTTGATTGAAATCCTCATAATTCATGTTTCCATAACACTTTCATGGAAAATTTATGATCATAATCATGAGAATTCAATGAGACGAGGGAAAAATACCAGTACTCTAGAGGCGAAAATCGCTCTTCTGTTAACTTCTAAGCTGCAGCTAACAGAAACCAATTAACAAAACCTCAAAATTCAACCACAAACAATTGCCTCTGTACTTCAAATAAAGAACCCCACAACCCAAAACCATTCAAGAAGCTCAATTTAGGCACAAAGCACATAGAGGCTTGAAACTGAAGAAGGTATATAAGGGAAGGAGACAAAGCAAAGAAGAAATGTAAAATAGAAGATGGGAAGAGTTGTGGTTGAGAAGAGTATGACAGGAAGGTGAAGTTGGGTGTCTCAGATGGTGACCAAGAATCAACTGCAAAAGGGGTTTGCTTTGATTCAAAGGGAATACAATCAGAGAGGTTTGTTTGGAGGGAAGATAGCGGTTGGCCTAACTTCCCTCAGAGTTTTGTTTATCAAATAAGCAAAGGGAAAGGCTGAGGCCATAAAACAGCAACACCTTCAACTACAACTTCAACTTCAACTTCAAGTCCATCTGATAAAAAAAAGAAAAAGCAAAGAGATTTTTTGATATATATTAAACCCAATCAAGTTGGCTGATTGATTGGATAAGAGGAAAAGTAAGAATTTGACATCAATTATTTAATTATACAGTAATAGATTTATATAATAAAGATTTGAATTCTGGCGGGTACAGTGAGGTTTTATGGTGGGGGGTAGGCCACCTAATCCAACCAGCAGTTTGTACTATGTCGAAGCCGCCATGGCCCTCCTTTATGTATTGTTTCTGGCCACATCTTTGATGCAGTTGGCCATGCTCAATTGGTTGCTGCATAGAAGAAGCTGATGGCAGCTTCTTTCGGAGATCCAAGGAGTCGGGTCCTACTACACTAATTGGATAACATATTACTTGCTTGTGGCCCGTTCTCTCTGGTCAAAGGTTTGAAAGGTATATCTTAAAGTATTTCGAGATTAATCTCTTTGACCTATATTAGATCATACTTTCTTTCTATGTAATACTTTGGTTGGTTAGTTATTTTCTTGTTGTCGTTCTTAGATCAACGTTTACAGGATACGATCAAAATATTTCAGAATTAATCTCTTTAAATTATATTGGGTCACACCTTTTTTTTTTTTTCTTGGTGACCGAGAGTGTTTAGGTCTCTCAAAGTTTTTAAGTTAACGACTAGGTAAACCCCTCAATAACTACCTCTATTAGTGCTTGTGAAGACTCGAATTCAAAAGCTCATAAAATCTCCTTTTATTCTTTTATCTAAAACTATCCCGTGATAGTTTGGGTTAATGCACTTTCGGTAGTGGATCAAGGTTTAAAGGGCATATTATTAGTTGTGTTAATGATGTTAGTATAATAATAATAATATTTTTGTGTGATTATTTGAGAAAATTAATGTAATTTGAGTGGACTTTTTGAACCATTCACTTTTGGTTCATAGCATGAGAGTCAAAGGTGGAAAGTTTTGTTTGGGCCAGCATTACATTACAAGCCACATACCAAATCTAAATTTAGGTATCTATAAGTAATAAACAAAACAATCGCTAGGGTTTGTTTGAAAGTATTAAAAGTTGTATTTATTCTACGTTACCAATTTGATCAGTTGTTATGATGTATATATGTGGTTGACTTCTTCCTCCCCTTGGACTAGCTTTTAAAAGTGACTTCTACCTAAATTCGTTTATCATGTATCAGAGTCACGTTTGATGGGTTTGGACCATAGACGTGCAAGCTAGGTCGGGGGTGATGATAGGTTTGGACCCTGGTCGAACCATGCACATCGAGTGTGAAAGAGGGTGTTTGAAGTCGTTCCCTTGTTATGTTATAGTGCTTGTTTATCGAAAAGTATTTTTATTAAAAAATAGTTTTTATAAACATAATTAACATTTTTTTTATTGAGACCTTATTTTCTTTTTCCAAAAGAAATATTTAACATATTTCTAGAAGATATTTTAATATTTTTTATCACTTCTAATAGCATCATAAACATGCCTTAATTAAGAAGGAATTTGATTAATTAATTAAGAGAAAGCATATTCAACTTGTAAACTAATTAAAAGTTTATTAATTAATTATTTAAACTTTCACATTTTTTTTTTCATTGAAAAATCACATTGAGTATACAACTGAAATTTCTTTTAGGGTTCCCACACGTGTCCCCAAAAAATACTTTGATGCTTACCCTAATTTTATAATAAGATTATTGAATCCAAAAAATTAGAACACCAAAAAAATAAAATAATGTGTGACTTGGCTTCATGTTTCCTTCTTTAACTCAAATTTGACCCCATGGGCCAATCCCTCGACGCAACGTGTCGGTTTTAAGATTTAACAAGTAATTGAATTAGAGATAGGTCTTAATCTAAGATTTGATATGAAAGTAACATAAGATATACAACTTCGACATATTTTTACTCAATCGGTGATGTGGGTGCTACAATACCTTATCTTTGATTGCTAATTAGAAACATGGAGTGACAAGGAAGCCCTACCTTTGCTTAAATTATGCACAATTTCAATATAGGCAGGCATTCAATTCTATGATGTGTTAAGGACTTTTTTTTTTTTTTTTTCAATATTGTATGGTTAGAATAGATTGTCCCTTATCTAATTGACATAATTTATATGATACGTAAATGAGATATTATCATTGAGGGTACACGAGTTTACTGAATTCTCAATAAGAGGATATAAGTTTTAGAAATATCAATCTAAATACACTTAATAATAGTACATTATAGTTATGATAGTCTTACTAATAATTTAACAATATAATTTACACTATAGTATGATCACTTAATTAATTATAATATTACATAATTAATGATTACATAATTAATTATTATATTATATTATAACATTAAACATTAAACATTAGTAATTATTAAAGGATTAGAAATTTAAGTGATTATAACATTACATTATGTTTTAAATAATTACTTAAATTATTATAACATTACATTATAATATGATCACTTATTATGTATAACATTATACAGTTAAATGATTACTTAATTAATTATACATTTATATATTACATTATAAATATTATTATTTACTACATTGGTCTTAGTACATTACTTAATTAAATGGTAAAAAAATCTAATAATTGTAACTTATATTAAATTTATAGTATGATTACTTAATTACTTATAACATTACATTATAATATTATACAATATTTAATAAATAATTAGAAATTTAATTAATTATAACATTATATTATAAATGTATAGTATGATTACGTAATTAATTATAAATAACATTAACTATTAATCTTACTTAATTATATTACAACATAACTATATTAAATTATAACATTAATAATTTTATAACATTAAACTTACTAAATTAGTATTTAGTATGTGGAGAATCAAAAAGTTGGTGACAATTTCTAACTTTCTATATTTTTGTTTGTTTGAATGATTTTGGTGAGTTATTGATGTGAATTATGATGAATAATTTTTTTGTTTTAGTTTTGATTGAGGAATTTTTATGTAAATGTAATGAATTGATTGATTTTCAAGTGTTGCCTAGAGATTAGAGGATTTATGAGTTACATTGGACACAATGAATGATATCAAAATTTGTTAGGGGTGTATTTATAAACTTTTAAGATATTTTGTTCATAAACTATAGGGGGTAATTTATTTTTTTAGGATCCCGGAAAGACGAAACTTGCATTTTAAGTTCTGGTTCTGAATTTAAGAATCTGCACTGTATGTTCTGATTCTAGTTCTTTTTTCTGGGAAACTGCACTGTGTTTTGGTTTCGGTTCTCCCGAAAAATACAGATACCTGAAACCCACTTACTCCTATCTTTGGTGGTAGATTATTATATTAGTCTCTCTCAAAATTAATCGAGTGTGTGTTAAACGATGTAACAATATAACTATCAAAAGAAAATTGTTCGTGAAGAATAAGTTTACTAAATAATTTTGGAAAGTAAAGTTGGAGACCTTGGTTTTCTAAATGTTGGGTTTGGTGACAATTAATATTTTAATGAGATTAAACCTACCAACTTACCAACTTCTATCAAGAACAAAGAAAATTAATAACACATTTTAAGAATGTATAAAATTGACACATAAATTAATGCCAAATTGAAATATATTTCTTAATTATTTCATGTGTTTTATTTTCCTCTTACAATGATGAAATAACAAGTTTTACACACACATGATTATGTTGTCTTAAAAAAAAGATTATACATATTCGAATTTATCTTGTTTTTATGAAAACAGAATCACAATTCCTCGTCGAGCCAAAAAAAAAAAAAAAACCTCAATTCCGTACTATGTATATGTATATATATACTTTGGTATAAAATTTTCAGTTACTGGTAGCTCCATGTACAAGCAATACACTCACTCAAGTAACTGAGTAATACAAAAAATCACACCATATTTAAGAAAAAATTAAAAAAAAAAAATTGTAAAAATACCCAATTAAAAATTTTTCATCAGGGATTTTTTTTATTTTTTTTTTCAACTTGCTTCTATCTCTCCAATTCTTGTTTGCATAAAGGGCAGCAAGAGATAATTCTGAGCCATTGATCAACACATTTGAGATGAAACATAGTGAACATGGCGCTGCCTTACTTCTTCCTTTTCTCTGTACTTTGCTAAACATATCAACATTCCTGCAACATGGGAAAAATTCATAGTTAGACACGTTGTTACAGTATCAGTTTGATAATGTTATTATGATCGATAGTCATTATTATATTAGACTGTTGAACTGTTATGCACTGTTTAGATTCTAATTTCACTATATTATTAGATCCATGATCACTGAGATTAAGGTTGCTTTGATGACCATATGAATAGATCTATGGTGAATCTGTTAAAAAAGATTAGATCGGCACACGACTGATTAATCCAATTGGTTGTGCGCCTTACACCGACTTCCTGGCTACTCTCAGATGGTGCTAACCGACTGCTACATTTAATGGTGGTGATAATGTTTTTGTTAATTTTCAATGTTTTTATTAGTGGGGTATTTAACTAAATTACAAAAACCTATAGATGTTTTTATTAATTTTTAAATCTTATAATAACAACCTAACTCCAAATAAAAACCAAACACAGCCTTAAATCTCATTCATGCTATTCTACTGGTTAAAGTTAAGATCGGGGACTTACAGGATCTTCATTTGCAGAAGTTGAAATGCCATTGACATCATTTCCAAGCTCTAACTTGGATTCAAAAACTTGCTTGTATCTCCAACTGGGGAGGCTAGAAATTTGATCATCAGAGGCTCCTCTCTCAGAAGACCCCATGTTCATGTTGTAGCCAAGGGAGCTGCTAATGAGTGGCACACAGCAACACAGCAACAGGACCAGAAGGAATGGAAATGAGTAGCTGAGAGCATTCCAGGCAACAAGAGAGGCAGAGAACATGTAGATTCGGAGCTCGATGGAACGACCCGAATCGCGAATCGAATACCCAAACATTCCCCATCACAAACCAGATTGCAAAGAACAGCTCCAGCGAAGTCCGGCATCTGTTCATCAAATGAGAG